GATAGATAGATAGATAGATAGATAGATAGATAGATAGATAGATAGATAGATAGATAGATAGATAGATAGATAGATAGATAGATAGATAGACAGATAGATAGATATAATGGTAAGTTAATCATTAGTTAAAAGACAGTGTATTATTACAAATTTACAGGTGCATGAGAGGTTTTCAATAGAATTTTGTCCAATTTCACAGAACACTAACCTTTGTACCTTTATTGTTTTCATGTGTGTCTATTCAATCGTATGCACTCAAAAGACCCTTTTTATTCTTAAGTCCCAAAGCCAGAGAGAACAAACGACGAGACAGAGCTTTATGCGCCTTAGACCCATTCTGTGAACCAAACTACAGGCTAAAGAACACTGTCTACAGCTACAGATTTGGTCAATCCATGTTTTCCCCTGATCTGGCACATTCAATGCTATATTCATTTTCACAATGGATGCCATTGAGTTGTGTAAAAGAACACCTGCTCGCATGACATGTCAGGGCAGTGTAGTACCCTGCAGTTTCAAAGAGAACATTTGTGGCAAACTGTGTTTTGCTATTTTTGAAGGTTGGTTGGATAAAAGCCAAAAAACAGACACATAATATTGTGTTGAATAAAAACTGTTTTCAAATTCATTGTCAATTATATCATTCTAATAAAATGATTAGTGACCCAGATGTGCCTTCTTTCTTCTTCTGTGTAACCTTTTGACAAAGGAAGTCCCTAGGATTTTTCTTTTAACTAAAGCACCTGTGAAACTTCACAAGAAATTATTATGTTTTGGAGTGAATCAAAGCCAGCAAGATTATTACTTTGTTAAAACGAATAGTCCACCCAAAAATGAAAATACGGTCATTATTTACTCACTTTCATGTCATTCCAAACTTATACGACTTTCTTTTTCTCTGGAACATAAAAAATAAGATATTTTGAGGAATGTAATTAAACAGTTTCAGTTCCCACTGACTTTCATAATAAATTATATAAAATGATTACTGTCCGTCTGTCTGTCTATTTAACTCTGACTGTCTATCTATCTCTATCTCTCTATCTCTCTATTTATCTATCTATCTATCTAGCTATCTATCTATCTCTATCTATCTATCTATATATCTATCTATCTATCAACCTATCTATCCATCTATCTATCTATCTATCTATCTATCTATCTATCTATCTATCTATCTATCTATCTATCTATCTACCTATCTATCTATCTATCTATCTATCTATCTATCTATCTATCTATCTATCTATCTATCTAAACGATGATTATGATTGCCTCCTGATTGCAATATTATTGATGCATGGAAATTCATGACATGTTTTATGTTTTTGCTTGCTGAAATTCTAAGATTGGTGCTGCAAAGTCAAATTCAAGCTGTGGAATATGGTAGCTGTTTTCTAGTTGGTAGACAGTGTTGGGAAGGTTAATTTGGAAATGTAATAGGTTACAGATTACAAGTTATCCTACTTAAAATGTAATAAGTAGTGTAACTTTTCAATTACTTTATTAAATTACTTTTTGATTACTTTTCTCAATTTCTAATGTTTTCAACTGTTAATCATTTTCAAACATAAACCAGGCAGGGTTAATCTTACAGTAGTACTCAGTAGTCAACACTGACTCCTGTCAGACTTTCGAAATCCTTCATCACTTGAATAAAGATTATAATAGTTTAATTTTAAAGGAGACATTGGATGCAAAATGTGTGTGGACACAACCACCCTACAATGATAAAAATCCATTCACTCCTTTTTTTTTTAATCCCCCAAAAACCTAAACAGTCTCAATTATCAAGCCGTTTTGATTTTCTGAGCAGTATG